ATTGGCAAAACACAAAAAACCCTTTGAAGATGGCGAGGTATTGAAAAAAGCATTTCTCGAAGGCGCAAATTCATTATTTGGCGACTTTAAAAATAAAACTGAAATCATGTCTGCCATAAAAGAGCTCCAGTTGTCTCGTCGGACTGTAACTAGACGTGTTGAGCTCATGAACAGTGATATCGAGCAAAAGCTAAAAAGTGATATTATGAGATGTTCATTCTTTTCTTTACAATTTGATGAATCCACTGATATGATTGACACTGCCCAGCTATGTGTGTTTATTCGGATGGCCTTTCCAGATACGTCGTCTAAAGAAGAGTTCTTAACAATCATACCTTTGAAAGAAACCACTCGCGGTTCAGACATATACGATGCTTTTCTAAGTTTTGCGAAAAACTACGAGCTGCCTCTGTATAAACTAGTGTGCATAACAACAGATGGAGCACCATCAATGACTGGAAAGACTAATGGATTTGTGGCACTGTGCAGAGCTAATGAAGACTTCCCATCTTTTTTTTCTTTTCATTGCGTCATTCATCAGGTGTTGTGTTCGAAAGTACTGAACATGGCAGATGTGATGAGCATCACTATGAAGATCGTAAATTCTATACGAGCCAGAAGCTTGCAACGACGCCTCTTCAAAGTGCAATTGGAGGCCAGCGAATCTGAGCACACAGATTTATTGCTCCATACAGACGTAAGGTGGCTGAGCCGGGGAAAGTTCTTAGAACGGTTTCAAGAATTACTACCTGAAATCATTTCTTTTCTGGATCAAAGGGGTGATGACACGGAGATTCTTAAAAGTGAAAGTTGGCTGTGTGATTTGGCTTTCCTTACTGATGTGACTGGTCATTTGAATTCTATAAACCTGGAGCTACAAGGGAAAGATAAAACTATTATGGACATGATTAGCACAATTAACTCATTTAAAAGTAAATTGCAGCTTCTGATCAACCAACTGAAAAAAAAGGACTTGAAAAATTTTGCGTGTTTGAAAGCAAAAACAAGCGCCGTAATAAATTATAATAAATACGAAACAGAACTTGGAAATATTCTCAGCGAGTTTGAAAGACGTTTTTCTGACTTACAAAAATTGACGAACGTTGTTACTTTCATGATTTATCCTTTTTCTTGTGTGGATGTTGAAATTACTGCTTCTGAAATATCGAACACTTTTGACATGGATTTGTCTTCTCTCGAAAACGAGATGATACAGATCATTTCAGATGTTCACCTAAAAGCCAAAGCAACAGATATCAGTTTTTGGTCTCTTTTGACCCAAGAAAAATACCCAAGTCTCCAACAAATCGCACAGCAATTAACTGCTTTGTTTGGGTCGACGTATTTGTGCGAATCTGCGTTTTCTGAAATGAAAATAATTAAATCCAAATACCGCAATCGACTAACCGACGAACATTTGTCTTCCTGTTTACGTTTGGCACTTACTAAATACGTGCCTTTCTATGAGAAATTAGCAGAAAATACGCAGTGCCATGCATCGACCTCTAAGTAAATCAGTCCAGAGAGGCCCGAAAACTGATAAAACACTCTTAGTTCATGTGATTGGCTTCATACTTATTTTTAGTAGTTATTAGTTATTAACTTGTATAATAAGAAACTGTACTTCTTTAATTGTAAATAAAAGTATATTTAAATAGTGATATGTGCGTAATACCTACAATAAACGATTTAACATAAAAAAATATTGTCTTATTGCAAGTGATCGACTTGTCGTCTCAATTTATTGATATAGATCGCCATTAGTGAAAGTCTGCCCACCCCTGATATAAGTGATATACCTATGTGCAGGAGTAAAATAAGGGTCAAGGCTTGGCGTACGTAAATCACCCAAGAATGGGTGAAGCAGTCCAGAGTGAGCGGGGCAGATTATTGTCAATATCATATAAATTTTATATGATTTTGACAATAATATAATAATTGACAATAATCTTTTTATAATTTAATAATAAAAATTGAGTAGCTCGGTGGCGTAGTGGATAAGCGCCGCGGCCCGCGATCGTAGTCGTTAAGCAACTTTCGCAAGGGTCGGTCACGGGATGGGTGACCAAATAAATTATTATTTCGAGCTACTCCGTGCTTCGGAACGCACATTAAGCCGTTGGTCCCGGCTGCATTTGCAGTCGTTAATACCCTCCAATCCGCATTGGGCCAGCGTGGAGGGTCATGGCCCATCATCGTTAGCCATCTATAAGGAAGGCCTGAGCCTCTACAGTGGGGACGTAAAAGGGCTAGTGATGATGATGATGATGAATAAAAATAAAAAATGTCCAAAATAAAAGATAGAAATATTGTTGATGAAAAAAATACTCTTTAGTATAAATAAATGTATGATAAATAATAATAGATTAAATAGCACAGAGGTCAAGTTAGTAACACAATTAATATTACATAGATTTAAGTATATACATGAGATTATGAAGCGGTAGCCATTCCACATCTAGTAGCAGTAGAAACACTGGACCGATTTACCCTGAACATAATCATCGCAATGCACGGGCTATACTTTTTTTATATCCTTCTACTATTCCAAAGCTGATTAACCCTGGGACAAAGTTCCTTGGTCCCAGGCCTATCAGTCTTGTTTAAGCAAAACACACACGTGATTTACAAATGAGTGGGCCTCTGCAGAAGTCTACTCATTATGACTTTACATTCACTGGTTGGAACCCCAATACACGTGTGCAGCCTTAGCAAAAAGTCTAAATGAGAACTGGTCGTGATATACGACGATTACGAAATCGAGGAGTCAGCTTTTGACAGTTCAGATGTGTAGATCATATTATCTACTTCAGAATTTATAAAACTCTTTGAATACACGACTTAAAAAGACAAAAAAATATAATTAAAAGACTACATTTATAAATTTCTATATTTAGGTGCTTTACATTCATTCAATCATCTCTATGTACATAGGGAAGAAGATGATTTAAGGAACTGATTATGAGAAAGATATATTATTATTGTCGGTTGAAATTATTTATTTTAAGATACACTCACCGGCATATTTTAGCGCGGAAGTAATCGCGATAGATAACAAGCAAAAAACCAATACTGTTGCAAGTTTAGATCTATAAATTATTTTACTTATTGAAAATTGATAATATTAATTACATTGACAGATTCCTTTACAAAATCATCTAAGCGATTTGCTCACAGATCTATGAAAATTTATCATTCATAATAATTAAGTATTATCCCGATCAATTAAATCAATAGAAAGATTGAGAATGATTTGATCCTCGAGTCTCGGTTTACATTTAAGAGCATTTATTTCAAAATCACTTGCTGATAGAGTTGATTAATTAAATTTAAGTACATACTTCCCATTACATAGGTGATTCGTATTATAATCAGATAATAATACAAATCATAATATTATGCAGTAGTTTCCAGCTTTCCATAAATACGAGTGAATATTAGACAATGGCGATGCCAAATAATACTTAAGTCGATAAGTCATTTAAAATTTAAGTGCTTGGCTATATTTTATTTGCCAGATAAGATGTCAGATCTTTTGTGAAGATGATGTCGAGTTCAAATATCAGTTTGCATACCTGTTGAATTATTCATGAGTATTAAATGGACAATTCTCCCTCTGGGAGCCGAATGAACGTACTCACTTCCATCTCAAGGCTCAGTTTGGATCTAATGGAAATAAATAAATTTGTCAATCCTGAAAATTAGTCAGCCTAACACACAAAGAGAATAGCTTACTTATATAGATTCTGATTTAAAGTATTTCACATAAATTATCGTTAATAAATATTTTAAACTAATACTTGATTATAGTAAAGAACAAACTCAAAATACTTTATTATATTTTATGACTTTGGCATTCAAAATGCTATATTGAAAAATATCTTTTGTCGTTTTTTAAGCATTTTTTATTGAAGATATTTATCAAAATACTTTATTCAGTCTAAGCTGTTACTTTATAAGCTGTTATCTACACTTTATCTGTAGGCTCTACTCATTTCTACCTTTATAATTTCATACAGAAAAGTCAAATTAAAATAATAATTTCATTAGATATACTTATAGCTCGGTGGTGTAGTGGTTAAGCGCCGCGGCCCGCGATCGCTGTCGTTAAGCAACTTTCGCAGGGGTCGGTCACGGGATGGCTGACCAAAAATTATTATCTCGAGCTACTCCGTGCGTCGGAAGGCACGTTAAGTCGTTGGTCCCGGCTGCATTTGCAGTCGTTAATACCCTCCAATCCGCATTGGGCCAGCGTCCTCCTTAACCATCCATAAGGAAGGCCTGAGCCCCTGCAGTGGGGACATAAAAAGGGCTGATGAATACTTATAGCTTAGTTAATCTATGATTAGAGTATGAAGTCACTTTCCTTTACAATATTAAAAAAGAATGAAAACATTTCGTATATGTATGATAATAAATATCTCTCTTCAAAATTATCTCTTTAAATTATAAATAAATAATATAATTTAGATGTTCCCGCACCTGATCTCCGCACTGGGTACTTGAAATTATGTACCTATTTATTGAACCTATATTATATATATCTTTAAAATTGTTAAATATATTAATAAAAAAAGAGTAATTTTCCCACTTAAAAACCATGTAAAAATATAAGATTAAACGTCTCATTTTTATTTAGTTATCTCAACGTCAAAAGCCTCACTTACTAACATCCTTTTTTGTTTTCTTATTTAAAGCTGACTGTTACCGCCTGAATAACCTCAGGCAATGCAAAGATAAACGTTTTTCTGCGCACCGTAAGACAAACTGTATCCAACCCTTTATTACGGTTTTTGGCTCTTTCTTTATATCGTAAATGAATGTGTACCCAAGACTGGTTCTTTCACTCTCTGGCTTTTTATAAGAAATATTTGGAATAATATAAAATACTGCATAAAAAATAAAAGTCAGTGACTTTAGTAATTTAAGGACTTTATTAATGAACTGCAATAACTTATTCAGGTCTTAGTTATGTTAAACCGGTTACACCAGTAGAGGTCAACGCTCTATATAAACTTATGAACTTTATATGTCCCTAGACAACTTGGTAATGAGTTTCGAAGAACAGATAATAAAAAAGTTTTTACTATACTATCATTATCTGACATGTAGCCGTATTAATAAATGATGTCATCCATCTCAAGTAAATAACAATGTCTTAGCATATTAGTTATTGATTTACAATCATGCGGGCATTCCCTTTTTCTGAGTAACGGTTTGGCGTCGGGGAAAGAACCTATGTTTCCTCAAAGGCACGTATAAATACTCATACATCCCAGACGTTGTTTATATTGAGTAGAGACTTCAACCAGTAACAAAGATGTTGCGAGGAACAAGTATATTGTTGGGCTGCGTGCTCTTAGTCTTTATTGCGGAGAGTTCGAGTCAAAGGATTACGCCTGCTGTTTATAGAAGACCGCTACCACCTCCATCGCCTCCGAAAACAATTAGAGCGAGAAGAGATATCAATGAGGAGCCGTTGTGGCTGTACAAAGGGGATGATATAAACAGAGCACCAGCGACCGGTGACCATCCATATTTGCCGCCCTACATAGATGATATCAAACTGGACCCTAATACACGATACACTCGTAGTGTGGACTCTCCTAGTGCAAAGCGTGGAGGCGGTAGCCATTCAACATCTAGTAGCAGCAGAAACACTGGACCAAACCACCCTGGATATAATCGTCGCAACGCACGGTCTATACATACACCATCACCTTTCACTGTCCCATCACCAACTTTCCCAAGGCCCACTAACCCATTCCCACGGCCGGAGCTCCCTGGTCCCAGACCTATCTTTCCTGTATATGCAAGACACGCACGTGATGTACAACTAAGTGGACCGCTGCAGAAGCCTACTCATTACGACATTACATTCACTGGTTTTAACCCCAATGCCCGGGTGCAGCCTTGGCAAAAGGTCAAAGTGAGAACTGGTCGTGACATACACGAGGACATCGACGAAGATGAAATCGAGGAGTTCGCTTTTGAAAGTACAGACGTATAGGTTTTTTTTATGCACTTAATTTGTAAATATTACCTTGTTGATTTTACCATATTCTGTCAATGATTAATTAAAATATTATTTATAACGCTTAATTTTTTTTTATTCGGTTCAACTAATACAATTCTGTAACTTGTTAAATATTTTTTTTTTTAATTTACTGGCAGATGTTAATTTTTAGAAGCTATGTTTTCACTTTATGTGTTCTTTCATGACATAATGTACCAAAAGACGAATGATAGGAAAGACTTGGATCATGCATGTGTGTATATACAGCGTATAAGAAAAGAGAGAAAAGGTATAACACCGCAGACATTTTCATGATAATATTAATGGTAAAATAATAATATTAATTTGCAAAGATCTGCAGAAGGGATTAATACTGCTGCAAGAAAAGTTTATTAGTTATATAATGTGCTCTTACTTAAAATCAATATATGCATTGAAAGTCAAATATTGATGCATACGAGTATCAGAACCTGTAACCTCTAACAAATGAAAGCTGCCGATTATACATATGCGTGAATCTTTATAGTGTTGAGAGTCATATCAAGAGAATTAATTTTATTTCTATTAGAGTCAGGTAGAATATTTTTGACATTTCATAATACTGCAACAGCTATTGGAACTAACTTATTAAGAGAATATATAGTTTTTTTACAATAATAACAAATTATTATGACCAGCATGCGTAGCATGACGAACGCGAGAACGTTTTGTCTACACTCAAATGTCACTTTTCTCGGGTGCGCCCATACTATATCTCACTCTCGACCCGAGAAACTGACAAATGAGTGTAGACAAAGCGTTTCTCGAGTTTGTCATGCTATGTGCAGTAACATATTGAAAATATACAAAAACTTTAAATCCTCAGTGTTACTTGGCTCGCTACAAATATATCTAAAACATGATTCAAGTTATCTAATATTTAAAAGATAAACATCAAGAAAAATACTTCATATCTGTCTATACATATAAAAATCAATGGCTGTTCGTTTGTTTTGCCTTAAAAGTATAAAATGATTTGGAAGTTTAACTTATTTTGGTTTAAAAATGTTTGTCATAGTTCAGGGAAGGTTTAAATGGTGAGTGGTGAAACGAAGTACACCGGGTGATCTAGTTAAAAATAAATCCGGTTTTGTCTTTGCTGTATGGCATATTTGTTTGAGAATAAAAAGTAGAAGGTTTTAACACCAGCTAGGCTGCATGCTCAAATGGTCTTTGCCTAAAAACAAATGTCAATGTCAGTACAACAAATGTTATAAATGTCAAACCACTATCAAAGAGATTGATTTGTTGAATGTCGAGGAACAAAATTTTAAATCATATGCATAATTCTTTTATATTTCGCTAATTAAAAGAAAATAGACAATCAAAACTTACATCATGGGGGACGGACTGCAGCCGGGTATGCCACAACAGCCGTCTGCCGTTAACTACCTGAACCATTGGGTGCGGAGTCTTAGAACAAATTTCTGATTTCAGACAACTCTGAGATGCTCAAGGCGTTGTATGACTTTGAAGCAACCCTAGCTAAAACTTTAAGCTTTTCCGAGGGAGAATATTTCTATCTTCAGCAAAATAATACCAAGCAAAGAAACTGGTGGCATGTTGTTAACAGAAAGGGTCTTGTTGGATTTGTACCTTCTAATTATGTTGCTTCGGTCAAGGTAAATAAAGCTTGATTACTATAATATACTTTAACAAACGCCAAATGTATTAAATTACATCCTTCAGTGTGTAACCAGTCATTAGTCCATACAGGTCACTATAAGTTAATTTACTAATTGCTAATGACTCCTCCAAATAAAATTGTAAGTAATTGTATTAATTGCATTTAACATACCCATTCATACTGTTTAAGGTGGAGCAGGAATTCTTCCTATCATTCTTAAATGATTGTATAAAATCTCTAAATGAGAATAATTCTATTTCAACACAAAAACAAGAGTTATTAGCTGGCTTAATTGAAAAGAAGAAACAAATTGAAATGTCAATGAAACCTCCTAGTAAGAAAGCACAGGCACCTAAGCCGCCGCTAAGGTTAGATGATGGTACACCACCAAATGGTGTATCGCCATCATTTGATTTGAGACCTGTTGTGTCACAACAACAAATTACTGAAGAACGGGAATCCACGAATTCATACATCGGCAAAGGTATTTCTTATCATAATAATCATAATAGCTGTGGAGAGGAGTAATCTTCTCTGTCCTTATGTAGAGTCTATTCAAAATATTTCTTTTAATTTTTGGTAAAAAAGTTTTAACAATCAAGAAAACAATAACAAAGTATCTATTATTTTAGATTGTATATGGCCAAACATATGTAATACCAAATTTTTATACTCCTTTTTCATTAACATTAATTTCTGATAACACATTATGTATTGCTATAATTGATATTTGGGCTATGTTCTTCTATCAACAGGAAAAATATTTGAGATGAGGTTTTGACTATTGATGTATGGGTTTACAGAATTAGAAGAAAAAAATGATGGAAAGCAAAAGAAAACAGTGAGTAAAACGTCTTCCAATCAACTTTCATCAGATACTGATAATCAGGATGACAGTCAGGACAGTAGTGAGAGTATCAAACCAAATGCCATTTATGAGATTGTACAAGCAGTACGTAAGGAGACCCAGCTCAGTCATGAAATGTCAAAAGTGGCTGTAGAAACAGTGCTTGTCTCTTTAAGAGTAAGTCTATAAGTTTCCGGGACATAATAAATAATATATTAAGTTGTGATAGTCATAGAAAACTAAACAAGTCCAAGACAGACTCACCCACAAATGGTTTTGTACCATTATCTATAAATAAACTGGCAAAAAAATCACATTTGTTGCATGAAAGCTCCATTAAATATTTATTCGATTTGGTTTTTTGATTAGTGTTTATAGCAGCAACATAAAGAAAAATTTTAATTATTCAGATATCACGGTTCATGATACACAGTATGGTGACATACAGACAAATAGACAGATAGTTAATATTCAACTACTTAGGATGACACAAAATTATATAGCAAATTTTAAATTCTTATCAGCCAACTTGAACAAGCTGTAAGGAAAAAAATTTGGATGATTCGAGTGCTTGTAACTTGGCTTATTTGAATAAAGTAATTTTCAATTTTCATGTGTGATTTATGGTGGACTGCTTTTTGTGTATTTGAGTTTGATAATTAATTATATTTACTCTCACACATAATTAAAGGACATTAAGGATATTAAATTAAAAAATATGAAAGTCCCAACTAAAAGAAAAAAAATATTTCAATCAAAATTATTCAAAAGCTGGCACCATAAATTAATTGGTTTGAGATTTACTATATAGTGAGTTAGAGAAAAATAAGAATTAATTATCAAATTTTCTGTATATATAAAATATAATTATTCTGTCTTGTGAATATATGTAAAATCTAACAGTAACATTCATTTGTCAATAAAAAACTTTTATATATTTTAATTAATAACTACAGATATAACAATATCTAAACTAATATTATAAAGAGACAACAAATTGCAACACTAAAATTACTGGACCAATTTTAAAATTCTTTCACCTACGGGAAGCTGTGAATATACACTATATTTTATCCCGAAAAACCAGCAAATAAAGTAATGAAAGCGGGAGTGGAAGTTTGTATAGGGAATGAAAATTTTATCATTGTTTACTATTCAAATTATATCCGTGTCACAATATGAATTGATATCTTATAAACAGTTCCTTAAGGACAATGTGGGCGAAGCCGGTGGCGAACAGTTATTATAAAATAAAAGCTTAGCGATATTATTTTCATATAGATAGACTACAATAACGTATATGCTACTTAAGAAATTTACTTTACTTATGCTTTTGATTTGTAAGGAATTTCTACCCGGTGGAGCTGCTAGGTCGATAATAGACGCACTCCTACGTGAAGCAAATAGCAATATCACATGTCCAAAGAATGCTATTGACGCAGCACCTGATGCACTACGGATGATGACGGCCCTCAATGCATTATCGAAAGCTGCAAATGACGCACAGCAACGAGGATGGGCGTTACATGATGACGCGCATGATATACAGACACAACTACTTGAACTTATATCTGTGATGGTATGCTTTGAAATATTTTCTTAATATATAGTTATATGTACTTCATGTTTTTGAGAAAAATATAATATATCCATTAATAGATCAATGTGAACTAAAGAAGGCAAAGGAAAGGAATATCTTTTACACTTAACTCATAACTAAATGACAAGTGTTATTAAATTTTGTCGGTTAAAGTCTTACTTGTGCACAGAGGTTCATATGATTTCATACAAACAATTCTTACAGTTGTTAGCATAATGTAAAATTTATGTCATACTAAATTAAGGTACAGTATATATTAATTTTGCATACATAAAATATGTTTCAGTCAAATGCAGATGTAAACATCTCCCAGCATGTATTGAGCAGTCATCGCTATGCTTATGTGACAACGCTTGTTCAGTATTATCAGATGGAGACTAGATGGCCTCTCCGACAGTTGCTCTTACAGGTACAGAGATAGCTGTATAACAATATTATCTTTTTCATATATTTGCTCTTAAAATCTACTATTTCTAAATTTTCCGAGCATATCGTCAAGTTTTGTAGATAATTGTAAGGTTCAGAATAAGAATGAATGGCATCAGAGAGCCTTTTAAATTATTTTTAAACCGCTATACTATCCCCTGAGACAAAGTCCAGAACTAAGCGCCTAATAAGCTATTCGTTATTCATTAATCATTGGTAAAAATATGTTACAAATAAATAAAATATTTGCTGTAGTTAACTTAAAATTGCGACTGAATTTTCGGTGACTTCGACCCTTAGGTTGAATTATTCAAAATAATTTAATAACAAAACTATGTCATAATAACTATGAGTATTTCAAATTTGAGCTCGATCTGTCTTTTAGTTTGAGCTGCACCTTTGCCTTTTATCTATAATAGTATTATAAAGAGGAAAGATTTGTTTATTTTAATCAAATGGGCGTACACGGGTGAAATAGGCTATAAAAAGCTACTATCGCGCGGTTTTGGTATTCTTTAACTTGTTTTCAATAAATCAGTAATCATAGCCAGTTGCTATCTTTTTTTAGATGAAATCACTCATTGAATTTCATTTTTATGGTCACCAATGCTAACGGAATACGAAATAACAGTGGAGATTCTCGTCATTGAGATTTGAAAATTAATAGAAAATACGAATTAGTGATTTTGACATGTTGGAATTGCCCACTTTTTACCGTGACTACGATTTCAGATTGCCAGTTGAGTAGTTGTCAAATACGCCTGCCGTTAGTACATCAACGCATTCGCTTACGAAATGCGAAACATCCGCGTAACTGAATACAAACAGGGTTGTCACCTTTGGAGATATAAATTCGTGTCATTCAAACAGTCATGAGAAATCGAAACGGGTTTAAACCCTGAATGCGTAACATGTGCTTCTGTGTGACGACATTTCCGAAGTTGACTGCGAAACCGTACTAATAAAGACGCAGCTATTTCATCGAGCTAATAATAGAGCGAGTCAAAGCACATGTAAAATATTACCATAAAACTTACAAGATTTCGTAAATTTTTCGCATTCGTATGCGATTGCGTCGATGCACTAACGCCTTAATCATTAAAAAGATCTACATTGAATTTGGTAGGCATTCGGAGTAATGTGTGGACTAGAACGTACCGCTCTTGCCACCCTCGCCCTATCGGCATTGCCGGCTGAAATAGCACGCGACATGCGGGACAACCCGCGCGCTGTCAGCCGTCTCTCGCACTCTGCTCTACTCCTGTCTATGGTGTTGTCTATGGGCGATAAGTTGCCCATCACGCATTTTGGTGAGTCATTACATCCAATCATCTATATCTATCCACACATAGTATAAAAAAAATCTACCCGCCATGTGTACGCTTAGATCTTTTTAACTACCCAGACGATTTTCATCTATTTACAGTGTCATTCAAGAGAAAGGTTTATATGTATAGTACAGGATCACGCGGGTGGAAGCAAGTTTTAAAGTTCACATTTTAAAAGCTGGTAGTTAACTATGCACCTGTCAATATATAGAAAATGTAGGTTTTTTTTTATAATTCAGCTACAATGAAGGAAAGCTACACACGACTCAGATTACCACAATATGTCAAATTTTCGCAGTGAATTTCTACTATACCCTCCATATTATAAAGGTTAAAAATTTGACAGTTTTATATAACTTAACATGCGGCTGTATTAAAGATCCCTCTGCTTCTAATGAAACGAAAGCGCCAGAGAGCAATACCATAAATAGAGCCTATGATACTGATTTAACTTGAATAAGAAAGATGACCATGAAAATGGAAGAGCTGTATGAAATAGACCCCTCTGCCTATCAAAAGCATAAATAGAAATCTAAAACACATTCTCCACTTAAGCTAGCCTTTAAATTATCCTTTTACTTTACTTTTGTTGTTATATCATGTTACATTACTTATTATTATGTTATCTGTTTTGGACAGAACAACTTGGCGTAGAGTTTGCTCAGTTCCTCCTCGAGCTGATCGAGAGTCCTCCAGAAACAGATGAGAATGAACAGATACCAGATTTGTTTCTGACACTGCTGTTGGCTTACAATCTGCAGTTTGAACAGCCCAACGACAATTTACTACTCAACGCGTTGGAAACTATGGATAATGCTAAAACTTTCTGTGAAAAAGTTCTCCTGTTGCTCAATAGAGAAGGTGAGTACTGTTATATAGCAGAAAATATGTAAAAAATTTAACAGAGGTCGAACATGAACATAGAAAATGTTCCTTGTCTGAACTCGACAACTCTCATAACAACATAATACTGAGTAGACCATGTCATTTTCTTTAAAAAGTTATAATTTAGTATTCATACAAATTAAAATAATATTTATGCAGTGTCGTGTACGGTTAAATTTTCATCGCTCATATACAATAATAAAACGACATAAGATTATTGAGTAGCCGCCATGATGTGATGTCATTAGATCTTTTTAATAATGCCTTGCTACAGACAAAATCAATATCAACGTGTTGTTATCAAGACCAAGTCTAGCGTTTTTATCGAATTCAAATGTAATATTCAAATGCATTTTACATAGGTTCAATATTTTCTTTTTCTATATTTTTTTATAGAGTAGCTCGGTGGCGTAGTGGATGAGCGAAAGTTATTGTTAAGCAATTTTCGCAAGGATCGGTCACCGGATGGGTGGATAGGTTCTTTGAAAGGCACGTTTAGCCGTTGGTCCCGGCTGCGTTTGCAGTCGTTAATACCCTCCAATCCGCATTGGGCCAGCGTGGAGGGTTTTCCTCCTTAACCATCCATAAAGAAGACCTGAGCCCCTGCAGTGGGGACGTAAAAGGGCTGATGATGATGATGATATTTTTTGGATGGAATTAAGGACCTTTTTAAAAATAGGTGTAATATTAAATGGCGATCCCTTAATAATTATTTTTATTCATCGTTGAATTCGTCTCCTATTTCAGAAGACCCAGTGCATATATTCGACCACGAGCCGGCGCCACCACACTCGGTACTGAAGCTAGTTATAGACTTGTTCAGTCGCAAGAAAACCGCCGGTCACTTCTACACTAACGATGTGAAAGTGGCCATAGATATTATCGTGCGACAGCTAGCGGACTTATCACCAGGCGACGAGGTATTAGAAAATATTTTGTACATTGCTGTCAGAGCAAGCTTGTTAAATATGATGAATGTCAAATTGACACTTGTCTTATTTTATTTGATAAATTTTGCATTCACAATTTTATTATATTTCTATTAGAAAATATTATAATAATGAAAAATGCTTGAAAAACTTTGTTAGTAGTAGCGAATAAGTAAAAAGTGCTTGAAAAACTCGTCAGTCCTTTTAGGTCCTAGATCTCGACTGGGTCGGACTGCGAAAGGTCTTGGTTTCGAATCCCATCTCAGATTAACAGATAGACAAAGTGATTTTTTTAAGCACTTTTCATTAAGAATATTGACGATGTCTTTTAGTGATGCGTCGGATATCTGTATCCGCATATCCGTGACGTCATACAATGGCGTCTCTCATGTCACGTGACACATGAAAAATATCGACTATTAATTTTGAGATAATAAAATAATTCATTCGATTTTATTATTGAAATTCAAAATATATTTATGGGTAAGTCTGCTTTGTGCATACGAAGATTCGCCATACTCCATTTAAGGTGGATCTTATGGTCAATAATATTAACAGTTTGAAATATTCACAGCTTTTTATTGGTTAAATAAATGGGAAATATCTTCTACATGAAACTTACAAACCATTGTATATATATTTAAAAAAATTGCTGTATTAATCCTGCCGTTCTCGAGTACTTAACAACACATTTAGCGATTAATTTTCATTAATATATTGTATTATTATATTTTACAGCGGCGCCAACAATACCTTAAAATACTCCAAGGCATCATCCGAAACACGGATTACGAAGCTCACCTCCATCGCAAACAAGACCTTTTCAGGTGCTTCGCTAGAATCTTCTGCGAGGAAAACGAAGCCAGTCGCGATGATCAAGCACTCGTACGCGCTATATCGAATGAATTCCCCCAGTACTTCATGGCCTAAGGTTTGGAAACCTCTGACTAAATTTTTCAGGACGCAGTCCTATTGAAAATCATCGAACAAGAAGCGAAAGCGACTTTCAAAAGGTATTACGTAAGCAACGTACATATGTTACCTTCGTTTGCCTAATAACATATAAGTTACGAGTTTAACGAAATTGAACTCTATTGTAACGTATTAAGCGACATACTATGATGTATGGAATAGATCGGTATATTTGATTGGCGCATACTTTTGGTGCTTTATAATTGGCTCAAAACGTTCTCCTGCATCAAAATTAGCGCCATTCTTACCTTTTTTCTCCTCGCACAAATGATTCCTTTAATTATATAGAGCGATCTATATACCCGTGGATATTGACACCCACTTGATATATACATGTTTTCGTCAAAAGGTGCTCATATAGCTAACAGACCCGAAAGAGGCGGACGAATCGAATCTTTAACCCTGCAAGTGACATTAAAATACTGACGATTCGTGACATGTGTTCTTATATAAGAATTCCCTTCTTTTACCTCCTCCAGCAAGTTCCATTCTGATCTGACCTTTAAAATTAATATTGCTTTCGAGATTTGAATGATGGTACGTTTAAGATGTTTCTATTGGCTTTACGATTTTTCTCTGTGATGTAATTACTACTTAAAATACGTATTTGATTAGCATTCCTATTTATTTCCAATTAGAGGTCTACTGATATTTCGCTTTGTACTTAGAAAAATAAGGAAAATTGGAGAGTGATGAATGTTGTTGAACATTTCATTAGATATGTATTTTGATCGTGTGTAAAACGTTGTGACGTAATCGCCTGTGTAACCTCGCGTTATAATATATTGATGTGATTCATAAGAGAAGGCTAGTTATAATATTAAACAGTTTTACGATCTCATATAAAAAAAAAGTTATTATGAAGATATTACAATATTGAATCAAAAAATCACCATTTAGAATGATTTATATCCTTAGACTTTCTTGAAATTATTGCACAATTTTTTATTATTAATTTGCACAAAAATATAAATTAGTTTTTACTAAACGGTTTGTGTTTGTGATTCATCACATTATATTAAAATTCACATTATAATATTATTTATTAAAATTCCTACTTTTCGTTATGTGCCATTGTCTACCAAAGAATTTTATTTTAGTACCATAGTGTATTTTGTTAAAGCAAAAATTTTCTTAAAGCTTCCCACATTAGGTAAAATAACAATTTATAACAATTACTATGATGCATTTTCCGGCCTAATTTATTATTTTTCAAACAAAATTAAGATATTAAAAATACTATTTTTATCCATAAAAAATGCGTAATTATAAACCAATTATTATACATATAAATTAGTAAAATATACCAATCGAATCTTTAGCCTAAATATCTTAACAAATAAGAAAGTAATTCAAAATATTTTTTCATCCACTTCATTAATTCACAAATCAATAGTATAATAACAAGGTAAGTAGTTATAGGATTATTTGAAACTTTGTCAATCCTATCTGATCTCAATATAATATACTTACAATTTAATAAATTTATAATTCTTTACATATTTTGCTATTTTGCAAAATCGCTTATGCGATTCACAAACAGGTATTTCGTTATTATTGTAATTATTTATGAAACAAAAATTTTATTATTAAGATATAAAAAAGTCGTAGATCTAGTTTTTAACATTTTTTAAATAAAATCCACAATCTTCGTGTAGTTTTTCGATTATTTCATTAAAGATATACTGTGGAAGTATTTAAAAAAAAGAAAGCACTAAAAAGCACCTCACTAGATGGCGACTCTACCAAAAGTGGATTTTTCAGGTAACGAATGTACCAAAGATACGTCATTTCCGATCCTTTTAACTAACATATTAAAAAACTGAAATTTGCTAAGTTCGAAACTTAGATATTAATACAAATACGAAAAAGTACAGATAGAATATGAGTTTTGTATTGAGTTTTGAAAATTAATTTACTTTTATACATGAAATAAAACTGGAAAGGATGTCATGGTGAAATCAAGAAAGTACCGCAGCGATATGTTTTTTGATTTCCGGAACTAATGTTTTTTTTTTAATACTTCCTCATTATAAATGTATTATTGTTTGCATTTATATAATCTTACAATAAGCATAAGGCAGCTTAGCAATCACTTGAACAAAAAATATGAAAAAAAATCCAGGCTTAAAAAACTTTTTACAGAAATATAGTTCAAATTAAATTGAAATAAATCGATATCATTGGATAGAATTAGTTTGTGACTAAAGTACAATAATTGTGTCAGAACATTATTGCTTAAATATTTAATCCCGTTGTTAAAGTTACGTCTTAATATCGACCAATATTCCAGGGTTCATCAGAGATATTACGTTTATAATACTCTGAATATGTGTTAAAATATATAGAGCACTATTTAAAGTTCATTATTGTATAGATTTAAGTGTCTATCTTAACGAGAAATGTGTTATTAAATACAAATATTGTGAAAACAAAGTTAGCATCAATTAATTAATCATGTTAAATTGTATCAATAATGATTATATTTCAAAATTTTATTGTCAAAAAGATATATTTAAGTAAATATAATAAGAGATTCTTATTTATTGCATTTTACTTTTTATGGTGCTCAAAATTTGAAGCCAAATTTTTGTAGTGAAAAGTGTTTGCATTTGTGAAAAGTGAAGATATCTATAGCATAGTCGATACCCGATATCGACTACGAGCCGCTCTAATTATAACCTCTGTAATTCCTTTATCATTATTATACCTAAGTCGTGCACTGCCCGTGATAAGGCAACAAGAAGAAGTTGAATAAAATTCAACTTCTTCCCGTGACAAGAAGTTGAATTTTAAGTCGGTTAAGTACGAGGGATGACCCATCTTTGACTGTTAGCTGCTTAGTTTTTGCGTGATCGATACACTCAACCCTGTCTAATCAACTATCGCTTCTATTGTGGCTCAATTCTAATCCAATCTTATATACACCCTAGGGTGTATTATAACAATATTAAATAGTGTACAGCTGACCTTAACCGGCATAAGTGATGATTCGTATATCTTAATAGTTCAAACTTATTAGTTTCAATTAAATTATTATTACTATAACTGCACGACTCCACAGAAGGTTGTTCTAACAGGCAGCTATTTAATTATTTCAAGCAGTGTCTTATTATGTCATCGATCCTATCAATATTTAATTTCTCAATAAAGTATTAGGCCTCCCTTTCAAACGTTTGAACGGCTGTCTTTATGTTCGTTTTAGTTGCATTACATCACTGCACTGTGTGGTATGACACTTTCTAATACAAACATATTATTTGAAGTATCGAATAAATCTCAACCCTAACCAATCAACACCTACAGAGACCTGAGACCTAATATATCAGTACTAAGTGAACACACTACTGAGAAAAGTTTCTCATCCATGTTTAATGAATGAAGCTGAAGAAAGGGATTAAAAGTAACCAATTGTAAAAATTTTCGGTGTCGCCCTCGTACGTACGACCGTATGTTAACGGAATAAAGCATATTTTAGCTCAAAATATTAAAATATTTATAAAAACAAACGAACTACTTATTTTTCGCAATATTCATAATTCATACTTATTGCATGTATGTATAAGTAGCTTATTTGAACAAATTACATTTTCTATTTAATTAGCAACTGTTATAGAAACGATTGTCACATTAAAAAAGTGAATAAAAGTTATCTTTCTTCAATTGTTTTATTATTTAGTCGTATGAATAAACTTCCATCCGCAAAAAATATTCTTTCCGTTATTTAATATTTAGGAATTCAATATACACATCGACCAAACTTTCTTTTGAAACAAACGAGTAAAAAGTAGGTGGCGTAGAAGATAAGCGCCGCGGCCCGCGATCGTTGTTGTGAAACAACTTTCGCAAGGGTCAGTCACGGGATGGGTGACCAAAAAATTATAATCTCGAGCTACTTCGTGCTTCGGAAGGCACGTTAAGCCGTTGGTCCTGGCTGCATTTGCATTCGTTAATACCTTTCAATCCGCATTGGGCCATCGTGGTCATAGCCCATCCTCCTTAACCATCCATAAGGAAGGCCTGGGCTGCTACAGTGGGGACGAAAAAGGGCTGATGATGATGATGATGAGTAACAGTTTAACTATTGAAAATTATCTCTTCGAAAATTTTATTTTTATGGTTAAAAATTAAACTTAGAAATACCAATGAATCCGGAATAAATGAAACGACTCATTTATTTAATACAAGTATTTTAATGTACCATTATTCATGCCGTATAAATATTTCAAAATGTAAAACGGTGATAAAATTCATACTAACCAATATACAACTGCAGTCAACTCAACATAAAAATCATATGTTCAATTATACATACTTACATTAAACATTTTAAATAATTATAATTGAAATACATGAAGATCAACTGTTAATAAAATTATTCACACGCAACTTATACGTACTCTTATTTGAAAACAACCTTAATATATATTTAAATATACAGTAATAAGCAGGTACCATATTAAAACCTAACAGTGCGGTTTAAATTAAATACTGGCTGCTGTGTATCGACTGCATAACTCAATGTCATAACCAACCCATATTGGTAGGTTTACAGGAGGAAACATATGCAGAACGATTCTGTAAAAACCCGAACCCGAATTCGAAATCATTTAGGTGACCGAAGTCACTTCTAAAGCGAATCCGCTTAACCTTCAATTTATTGAATTCAAAGTTTCGAAATGACATAGGGATAGAATATCTGAGAATCACTCAATTCTTGTTTTGTATTTTTAAAAATGGAATCAAAAGAATGTCTACACTAATATAAATTTCGGATAGGGTTCGGATTTTTACGATATAGAACGATGCCGCTAATTTGGTCTATTGCTAAATTTTGAAGCGCTACATATGTAGGCCAATTCACGTTTCACGCCATCAGGTGATCCACCAATATCCATTCGTCTGACCAATGCTGAGTGTCAGTCAGTTGGACACTTAATATTTCTATTTTACACTTTATGCTTATTGAAAGAAGACTCACTATAAATTAGACTCGTACGTTTGGTTTTCATCGGAATTAGTTGGTCTGTTTTGCGCAAAGGAAAATTCACAATGAGCTATATTCGTTATTATGAAGTTATTTCACCCCGGAGTCCGACAAGTGCACACTGAGTGGCATGAGTATTTGATTCATTGTTACATATATGTGCGCTTATAAATTGTATTTGGACAAAAAATTGTTCACTTGTGTGTTCAGATGTCTGGCGCCAGCTTTATTCTTTCATCAATATCACACGTTTTTAGAAGACACATTCAATGTCAGTGTATTGATTTAAGGATTTAGGTTTATTCCATTAATAAAAAAAGAATAAAATGTTCTTAAAAATATTACTTTACATATGGCTTTGAGTTAAGCGATCGACCTGTTATAAAATAGCGGTCGATTATCGAAAATGGGGGTACTATGATAATGTAAAAAAGTTGGCCCCGATATTTCATAGGGATCCACAAAACCGGGAATATTTAAAAACCTTGTAAATACACTCTGGAAAAAATTATAGCAAATCCTGTTTTTATCAAAAGGATCTATGCAGTCTTAGTACGGGTTTGTATATTTTAAAAAAGAATGTTCTTTTGGAATGCTTTTTCTTTATATTTTATACAATTTCCATTTTAATATATTTAAATCTAATAGAAAATTTACTCAACTCTACACAAGGAAATAATATGTAGGTACCCCTTGTATAAAATTAAATACCTTGAGCATTATCCTACTTGTAATAATTATTGATAAATATACTAAATGTATTTATATTTGTATGCAATACACAGTAATAATTGATACACACTTTATAACAAACATATGATAATTTCACATCGATTTTGGCAACTGGATGAACACTCGTCTTATCATAAATACCTAAAAATAATTTATGCAAAATTTAACAGAACGTACATAAAATTAATTTTTTTTTCGTAATAGTTAATGTACCTAGATGGCGCCACTGGACTGTAAAACAGATAATGCAGTGTTCATCTAAAACTTTAACTCTACAAACATATATTTCTTAGCACAAACTTGAAATTTTTATAAAGTTCAAAATACCGATAATGATAAGTAGTTAATCACATTTACATAGAGTAGACAGGTGGCGCCACCGGTCATAATAATTTGGCAGTAAAATTCCCTGATTTTCATCTGTTTTATATTCACTGCACAATTTTTTTATATTTTAAATTTCGTTTCAATATCGCTATTCGCCAATTCAAATATTTAATGAATGGGAATTCACTGATCTTTATTATATTATAATATGTATGTTTCACTACAACTTGATCACATTCTACGTCTATCGAACACTCGCACATTACATTAATTAGATTAAAAATTATATACAAGTATTACCTAAAATACCTTAACTAATAAAACCTACTTTTCGGTTGTACCAATATTCGATACCTAAACATCTATGGCCTCAGTAATGTTTTATATAGTTTTAAAATGGCGGTAATCCCTGCGGTCTTTTGATAATTATACCAATAATAAATTATTCTAAGGATTACCACAGAACGCGAATATGATGGAATTCAAATTGATATAAAATGTCTTCTTTATCACTCGCAGCCAAAAGACATATTCGCCCGAAAGATAAATCACTGCATTTCAATAAATTCCAATAAATTTAACAGAATTACAATCTAACTAATTGTGTTCTGAACAAAACTACAATGTCCAATGTACAATTCAGTCGCAATAAAATTTTACTACATAGGTAACGGCTAAAAAGATAATATTTTTAATATCAGGACATAAATAATTTCCATGATATTATAAATACATATTATTCTTTTAAGCCGCATTGTGACGGAATTCATTTGCAATAATATCTAAAGATTTTTCATATGGAACATCGCACAACCGTCAAACCGATATAGAATTTGTGTAACTTAAAGTTAACAAATTGAGCTAAACGATTTCTCTTAATATAATAGAAAGTTTCACATAATTTGAGAGGTCTTCATAAAACGGTAAAACTACAAAGTAATAATGTTATTATTCTAACAGCTTCGTATTGCTTACATCAAAAGAAATTTGGAAGATTGTTATCCGAATTTATGCTAACTTACTCGTATTCGTGGTGTCCTCCATTATTAAGCATAAAATCGAAATTTTAAAAAACGTAGAAAACTTCAGTGGCGAGTTGTAAAACTTAATATTTCTTTTAGTATATAATCCTTATTTATTTGAATAAGTTGTATTTATAAATTACAGTAATATGATCTTTCCATTGCTTTGAAAAAATGTATGTCTAGGTAAGTATCATATTTGAATGAAGTCGGAAGTATAAAATTAACGAGATTTCAAAATACAAATGTTGATTTAAAATTATAAATTACAAATCGAATTTAAACAGCTAAGTATTATTTAAAGTACTATTTTACATATTTTGATTTGCAATATGAAAAATTAACGTTCAACTTTTCTCAAAGCAATAATTTAAACATGTATAAGTCTTCGTCAAAGATACAAACAGTAAATATGTAACTCTTCGACTGTATCAAATAGTACTAACGTTGAATCGCACAATAATAGACTCTGAAAAAATCCGTTAAGTTTGAAAAAGCTTTACAACTCGCCGCCTAGATGGCGTTAGCTTCTTAGCTGGGGTTCTGCGCAACTTTGCGCAGGCGGTAGCCGCCAGTGCCGCGCACCGTGTAGAGTACCACCACCGCAACCGCCACCACTGACATACCGATGGCGTTCATCACGATCGACTCCTGGCTCATCGTGGCGTAGGTCTCTTTCCTGCACACCGCATGCCCCGAGTTAGTAATACATTCTTACTTATAACAATCAATTAGTATTCGCTATCCTACAGAAAAGTACATTATGTTCGGGTAATATAATATTCGGATCGGTGCATATCTGATGGAAAATGCGACGCGTAATTTCAGAACAGAAGTCTAATGAAACATTCAACCTCGCCATCTCTATCAATAAGCTCGCTCGACGGAGCTTCCATTAGAGGTGCGTGACCGTCTGTTGTTACGTCATATATTAAGCTTCAAGTCAGAGTTGAGGGTGAGGTAATCACCCCATCTTGGATAATTTGTCCAAAGAAGCTGAAATTAATGACAGGACTACAAGCTAATTTTTCTGCGTTTATTTATTGCTAAATACATGTTTTATTTAGTTTTGATAATAAAGAAAACTAAAAGATAACGCTAATTAGATTTCAAGTTGCGGCTTTAAAGGAATACCGACAAAAAGTCAGATTTATTGCTTTTCGATTTTATGATTACTCCTCTTTTGTGTACCCACTCCACATCTTACCATTATAGTAGGTTTTAAGAAAAGCACAGTAAATAAAACAAAGAAGTATAAATTTGCAGGAAGAGAATTTCTAATAGCGTGCATTCTCAATATTAGTCAAAGATTAATATCAAAATGTTATTTTCAAAAGATGTTGTCCCAAAGATTATTACTTGCATCAAATATACAACAAGTAATCTCTTATTTTTGTCTTATATTATAATTTAATAGGTATAGGTGTGTCTTATAAACGAAGGTACACGCAGCTACACATCATGTTACCAGAACACGTCTATTCTTGCAATAGATAATGTAAAGGGCAATAAGTTAGATGTTAAACGAATACACGAAACCAAATTATGATCTGATGTGCTGTTGATGTGTACCTTATATTATAATAAGTAGGTAAGCATGCGTTTATTATATGGAATTAGCATTTATAACAACTAAAGCATAGTAATGTCATTATTGAAATTTTACTAACCTTCATTAAAAGGGCGCGTTTATTATATAATTAAATATAGGCAATAGAAAATACATGCACTAAATGAAAATAATGGCTATTTTATATGAATTATGAAGTGAAACATCAAATGTTACATATAAATATTTATTTCAACAAATCAAATTAAAGGTTATAATCCTCATAATACTTATGATTTTTCTATTCTTAATACCTATTTGTTACATGAACTTAAAAACAACTAAGGTACATCTACTTGTATAATATTGGTCTGATACAGACCATCTACATAACGAAGAAGCCTCGTCTAGAAATTATAATAGATTCTCCCTAAATTAAAATAAAAAAATAAATCCTTATTTACGTTCTAATAATTTTCGTCTGCAGTTTTATTTGTGATTTTTTTTTTTTTTAATCAGTCAATAATATATTAATAATTCAGTTTTCAATCGTATTTCTTATTTTATATGTCTAGAAAATTGGTCTTTATTATAAAATTTTAATAATTTGCAATATAATATTCGAGATTTTTTAAAAGCTATTGGTGGAACTTTAATTGATTTTCTTCCTAAAAAAAATCAAAGAAAATATCTCATCTTTCTACATACATACCTAATCGCTGTAAATATGTATAAAATATAGACATAAAATTGGTTCCCATCTTCTAAATTGGAGGCGACACCATGTGAGTTAGGAATTGGCTTTTGATTTACGTTTCTAACCATCACGAGTCGGTTGTTTACCAAACGAGTTTCGCTTATACACATTGTACTTTTCTCTAAGTCTATTCTTTTTTGTTGAACAAACATTCACACCATTAGAACAAAGCAGAATTTCATGAAAACCTTTCATCTGTCTTTAAACACTTATATGTTTAGATATTTTATCACATAAAAAGAACTTGTAGCAACGCACTATGCGATTCATCTTAAGAAATACGATATGTCATTGATCAGATTGCATTTGTTATATCTCCTGTATATTAGAATACCTTATCTGCAGTAGCACTTTTAACTAAATGATAGCAATTTCATGTGCGTAAGCGAAACTCGATAGTTTTATTTCGATAATCAGTTTCCTGAAGGTGTTTTACTATTTTACAAATCCACGGAAGCCCTTATATGATTATCGCGGGCAGCGGACGTCCGGAATTTGTCCCTTGACAAGATATACATGATCACAGCCAATATCGCGATAATTGCCACGCCGATAGTGTTGATGATGACAGCTTCGTCGACCATCGTGCTGTACCTCTCTGAGCTGTGAATGTGAGATGACACGTACAAGCAAAGGACAAACACAGGCTAAGACAAACAGAATGATACATGCCAATAGAGACAAGGGACGTGCAACTATCACATTTACTATTGCTATTTGAAGAAGGCATAAAAAGACATTAAATCATTAAGAACATAAAAAAGATAATTAATTTTAACTAACTGTGCCAAAAGTAGAAAAAAAAAAGAAATCGAGAAAAAATTATAAACTATTTTAGTATTTCCTGAACATCAGGAAGTATTAGAAGCCGTAAAAGTTAAGTGTACAGTAAATAATGGCAAAGGATTTATGACTTTGTATGGTTGAATTTCTATTGGATGAATATCTATTCTTACCCAATGTCGAAGAGTGCCTTCTCGGTAAGGCCGGTGAGACAAGCAGCGGCGCCGAGCACGAAGGTCAGTATACCGAAGGCAGCATGGATGGGCACAAGGGACGCACGGAAGCTTGCGGTGCCTTTGTTGCAGATCAGAAGCAAGAGGAAGCTGAAGAAGCCGACTGCGTACTGATATAATAAACGGCAATAGTTAATGACTAATTTAACAGTAACTATCAATAACAGGGCATACTCTTACAAAATACTAATATGACTCCAAAGAAACTCGTTCTTTGAATATATAATACAATAGAGGTAGAACCTGACACTGCTTTTGATGCACAGATAATCTTCACTTTGAATTTTTTTGATATTTAGCAAAATCTTGGGAACGATTCGAAATATCCTTAATTTTCTTTTATTCAATGTGTTAAGGATTAATAACACCGTAGTGATAGTGAAGACTAGCAAGAATTTATTGCTATATTTATATTAATAAATACATTTTCATGCCCTTGTAAAAGTCAGGGATAAAAAAAATCAGGATAGACACTTAATAGGTACTAAATGTACTCAGATATTTGCACATTCAGTGTCAATTTCTTTGTGACAAACATTTAATTATTTTCCTTTCAAACTTATTTTCATTTAACATATACATATCACCACGAATGAGATATATAGACGAATGAGTCGGGGGTGCACAAGTGCTAACGATTTTATCTATACTAATATTATAGAGATAAATGAAATATTGTTTGTTTGCATCAAATAAGTCCAAGCTATTGAACCTATTTCAAAAATTATTTCTCCTACGGCAAGCTACAGCAGACACGAGTGACATAGGCTATAATGTACGCAGTTATTTTATAATCATGTAGCTACCTAACCGCAAGTCTTTCACAGTATTATAAAATTACATAACACAGGGCAGGGGATGCCATATTTAGATCTCCCTACATCCTAAAGCTAGCCTCGGGCTGCTTCATCATAACCTTTTATGTTGCTTATAACCTTTAGATGCGTGAACCGTAATACACTAACTACACAGTACAAAAATAAAATATGGATTATCAGTTGTAGTTGTACTGGTCTATAAAATAGAGGTGATTATGTAAATCAATTATGTTTATATCATCATCACCAGTCTAATAGACTCTCCACTGCTGGGGCTCAGGCCTTCCTTGTGGATGAAATCGTATCGAATAGGAAGAATGAGCCATGAGCCACCACTTGGACCCAGTGCGTGCGGGTATTAACGACTGCAGATGTAACCGGGAGGAGTTCGAGATCGAAATTTTTAATCATCCATCCAATTATGAAAGTTGCTTAACAAACTTATCACAGACCGAGCGCGATAACACTATGCTATCGAGCTCTAACATTAACCAACATTCATTAATTAATTCTTCTAACCGTAAAACATATGTAGTCAGATATAGGCTGGTTGATATTTTATCTATTTGTTTACACAAAATACCGTTTTTTTAAACAATATATGTAAGTAAAATATATTTACTTGGAGTCCAAACAGTCCCATAGCCACGAGGCCGATCCAGCTGTGCAACGAGTAGAAGTTGTTGATGCCGGACTTGTTGTGGTAGTCGAATACCGCAAGGAACCCGATCACGATGCACGGGAAGGCCAAAGCGTGGAATATGGCATGCAGCAGCTTCACGTAGATACGTCTGAAGCATCGGCAGATGCGGTACAGCAACACAGCTGGAAATTTAAATTGACAAGCTTAATAAGTTAGTTCTGAATAAAATTGAAATGTCCTAAGAGTAAGAGTAAGATTCGAATTGAAATATTCTAAACAGGAAATAAACTAGACGCTGGATGTTATAAAGAAACATAATAGGTATAAACGTTTATAGATTATTAATTAAAAAACGCGTAGGTACTCGTACATTTAAGATTACTCATTTACATAATCTAGTTCACAGGTGTAACAGTTTGTTCAGAATGTTGAGATATAGTTCTCAAACGATTTGTATGTTGATATTGATTAAAGAAAGTTTAGTGGCAACCAAAGCTTGAATAGAATCTTTGAATTAAATTTAAATGCAAAAAAAAATACTGGATTTCTGTGCGCTAATTCATACATTTGAATTACAGAATCTACCTTAAAAATTCTGGATAAGAACATCCAGTGAATTAACTCAAGTTATAAACTACCTGAACCTAGTATGTCGTCCAAAATCAGTCAAGTTGTTTTCAAATAAAGATTACCTATATATTAGTTGACAGTGGCGGCAATAGAACCGGCTAGACAACTTTTTCCAACCGGGGCAGAAACTTGATATTACGTTTTTAACTTGACTGTCTTATTATAATTTCGGCAGATGCCGCAGCCATTTATAGGCACCCCAGGAGCAGGGTGGACCCCTTCCCCTTAGAAGAATATGCCATTGCTATATAGTAGAATAAATAGAAATAATTAAATAAATAAATTCCAAGTGATACTTACAGAATCCGCTAAAAGTAATGAATCCAGCGACCATGAGCGTTGGATGCAGATTGAACTGCTTATCTGGTGTGCCATCTGCCCATGCGTACCCATCGCGGTAATAGAACACCCAGAAGATGGTGAGTGCCGACACACCAATAAGCAGGATTGTCGCAAGGGTAATCACCAACGCATATTCACACCACTCGCATGCCCCTCTCTCGTGCTCCTCCGATTCGTAGGAACGAGTGCGTTGACTGAAACAATGAATAATCTATTAGTTTACTAAGACTATGACGGTAACGCTATCTACCTCATCTATAACCTCACGCAGTATCCCTTGCGAGGTAGACAGAGGACCGAACGCCACAAGACACAGTTTCGTCTATTCCACTCTCGTTACTGTTTTCATACGTGTTCCCCCCTCCCCCCCTTATAGTGCACTAAGTGATCCGGTATACCTCGTATCACCTCTCACCGTTTAAACCTTTCCTGGATTACGACAATCATATAAAAACCAGCTAGCTAATCAGCCCAGCCATTCTTGAGTTTTAGCGAGACAAACAAATAGCAATTGATTTTTAATTATATAGATAAATATTAGACGAAAACTAACTATATAAGAGAGGTTATGCAGTATTATCTAACAGTATATAATTTGACGTAAAGCGTAGAGATTTAGTCCAATAAAACCTACTTAAGATAACAAAGATTATATCATTGAAGCTCTATGTTATGATTGCGTCGTGCTTTATGTTTTTTTACTGCACTAATTCTTAGCAAAAGAAAATGAAAGTCTCGCCCAACAGAAAAAGAATTAAGAGTAGGTAAATAGTATTTTTTAAACTGACTATTTTTACTAAGCATTTTTGAGAATCACTTCTGTCGTTTTATTTATTTAACACTGAAAATCAATCCCTAACTGCCTAAATTTTCTCTTTTCAAAAACATGACAGATTTGAATGAAGGTAATTTAATATCACGTAATGAGCCATAGATAACATTACTTCGGAGATCTTTAAATATCAACTGAATCCCATTCGATATAGAGTCATTGGTTACAAAGGCTTATCCGGCTTAAACCGAATATAAGCCGCTGAACTCACAACTTGAATAGAAATACCTAAAGCGAGAGCTTACGTGAGGAAGCTTTTGATACCGGACCCTTACATAGAACTGTTACTATTTACAGAGCAAAACCTCAGGTTGATTTTAAATACTGTTCAGTATGTTAGATATCTAGTGTTTTATTTTAATACAGTGAATCATATAAATATACTTACGAGCTTTGGCCCACGACTTTGTCCGCGTAGTATATTTAAGATTTTTGTGTTGCGTCAAATTATATGTAAAAAATATTATGCAACAACATTAACATTATATAATAAAATAGTAGCTATCAATGATATATAATGTCATTGGTAACTATCATGGAAGAGTGGTTTAAACCAAGTTAATGAGATTTCTATAAGCACATATAGACATGAGGCTTTTCTGTTATCTTATTGGTTATAAGTAATTACATCGAACTCAAGGAATTTTGTGCTCGTAGGGCGATCCCAAGAGTAACTTAATACTGAAGTAAGTAACTATATTAAACAATAACTCAAGGTGTCCATTGACTTAGTGGTTAGCGCGTTCAGTGTGCGATTCGGAAGTATCTTTCGCAAGATAAGATGGGTGATCAAAAATTATTATATAAATTTCATCTATGCTTCAGAAGGGACATTAAGTTGTCCTTGGTCCTGGCTGGATAGGAAGTTATTAACATCCACCAATCCGCACTGTGCCCGTGAGGTGGAACACGTTCCGTTCTCTATATTCCAGTCTGTTTCATGTATAAGGAAGTTATTGTAACCCGGGAATGGGGACTTAATGTATTTATACCGAATAACATTACAAATGAACTTTTATAAACAATACTTGTTCGAAAATATCATCTCTGATGTTCTCAATGTAGAATTTTATTATAATTATAAACTTTAGGTGCTTTCAATGTTAAATATTTTTTAAACTAGCAAAGGTATTCATAAAATGACTCCGGTGACATATGTTTAGATACATATATGTGGTCAAGGATGCACAATCTAGACGAAACAAGGGCCGTCTCGTGTGTACTCAATGGTATCAGATAGCGTGAGATCATTGGGGCATCCGGTGGGGACCCACGTCATGGAACGACGGTTGAAAAGTTTTTTTTTCACATTACAAGTATAATATTGCTTAGGACCAACCAAAGACCCTTGAAGGCATGTGGTAAGTGTGGTTTGAAATCGATGCTTTCTTTTTTATTAATTCTAGAAGTGATGACATTTTTGCAAATTCTTTTCTCTCTCTCTCTAAGTACAAAAAACGGTTTATTTCAAAATTTATTAATGTAAGAAACCTATACTAAAGATTAAAGATAAAACTAAGAAGTCGACGTCATAAAGTCAGTTGTTAGTGACACATAAAATAATTCAACAATTAATGTTAATTAATATATTATAAAACATCTGGAAGCAAAAAAAAAAGCTGCATTGGTTTTGTCATAGTAGTCGTTGATGATATAAAATAATTACGTTTGTTTGACTTACAGCAGACAATCTCTCTAAAGAACTTAATAATTTTTAAAACAGTCCAGTAGTATTGGATCCTATTCAACGCATCAATTGATAGATTGCTTTGATTACAATATATGATATCTCAAATAATACATCGCTTTCACGTATGTGTAAAGTGTTATAATTTATGTTCTTTCGGAGATGTATTTCATGTTTTTAATTGTTGTTTAAGTCCTTTCAAAGCCTCACTATCGTGTAATAATATTAAATATGATAGTTTTATGTTATTTAAAGATTTCATGTTCCATTTTGAAAACCTAAATCTTAAGCTTAGTGCTGAAATTAGTATTTCGAATTCAAATTATTTATTTTAATATAGGCACAGGATACAGAACATATAATTAACAGTAAAAAAGGTTGAATGTCTTATGACTGCACTAAAAAGGGTGACTAGTCCAGCATTAGTCAGCAAGGGCTGATGCTGATTTTTTACTATCACCCTTCTTTTGATCCACGGACTCCAAAACGGCTACCAAAAGTGTGATAACATGCAATGCTACTGTATCACAAAGAGCAACCACAGTCACTGTCATAGTTGCAATTAGTTATTTATTATCAATCTAAAATTAATATATTTAATAAATTAAAAATATCCACAAAAAAAATGTTAAATGTAACACCATGTAAAAAAAAGATTTATTATTTTCAATGAAAATAAATAAATAATTTATTTTTTGTTGATTTGATATAATTTGAAATTTTAAGCCTCCTACCATCATTGATTAGAGTAGATCACCCGTATTTGTTTGATGTGGTGTCAGTTCTGCTGTGACGTTCTACAGACTAATTACTTAGTTTACTCCACAGACTATCATTACACCGGTTTTTTTGCTTATTTGTGAATTTATAAAGTAACCTGGTAGATGTAAGTATAATGTACAATTTATGTTTTGTTATTGTACCTCAAACAATAAAATCAAAAATAAAAAAGATTCAAGTATTCTTAGTGAAAAATGCTTAAAAATTTACTTTGCCCTGAGATACACTGAGATGGGACTCGAAGTCACGAGCTTTCGCAATCCGGGCGACCGCTCTCACTACTGAGCTACCCAGGACCTTACAGAGCTGACGAGTCTTTCAAGCACTCGTTACCATTACTCTACTAACGAGCGCATTTTCATCAATGTTCAGACAATCCGTCCAAACATTTCAGAGTAGGTACCTCGGGGCAAAGTGTATTTTCAAATATAATGATTTAAGTATTATTGGTTCTTTCTATTTTTAACGCAATGATATCTAAGCAAATATTAAGACAGTGACACCATTAAAGGTAATAAACAATAGAATAATGTATGTCACTTCCAGTGATTCTTTTATGGTGAAAGTGGGCTGATGCGCTTATTGATTCACAAACAAGGTGATTTACAAATAACAGTAATGTATTTACAATTCCTATCACATAAATACTTACATGTACTTTTATCTTTTTGGGTGGCAAATAAACAAACGCAATCTTCCTTTCTCTAATAAAATATAATTTATATCGAACCGTCAGCTATCGTGGTTAGATAAAATCGACGTAATTAGTGACAAATTACTCTACCTATTACACGTTTTGACTTTGTAATTATGATGTTTTTTTTTTTAATTACGGCGTTTCACCTTATTTCTTTGAACTACATGCTACATGTCAGGTGCCACAATATATAAATCTTTGTCAATAGATTACGGCATTTCATTGAGTTGAAATATCGAATGTCTTAACAGCTTTGTATATAGTTTGTTTTGCTTCTTAAATTGAAGTAATAAAAATCGTATCTTATTATCTGACTGAAGGACTAAATGGATTTTTTTTTACCCAGTCAACATACCTATTTTAGACTACTCATATTACATTAAGATTTAAAATGAAGTGGAGAATGTGACAGTTTTGTACGTTTAACATAACATACAGTTTGCTGAAATACCGGTTGAATATTGCTGTTGACTGCAAAACCGGTTGAAGATCAGGATTTCTAGTTCACGCTCCTTTGGATCGCAATAAAATCAATAATAAAACTTTAGTTTTTTAACGCTTTAGCGTTATGACTTTAGTAACCTATTTTATTGAACTTTAAAGCTTATCCGACTTATGTTTATTTTCATGCTACTATAATTTTATGCCAACGACTAAAGAGGCAGAATAAACGACTGCTTTATATATGAACTAGATTTCCACCTTCCAGCAGCTTTGCCCACGTGGTCCCTAGGGAACTGTTTAGCGGGATAAAACGTATCTCACATCCAGAATTAGAATTAAATTTATTAATTCATTTGGATAAGGTTTCATACCATAACACGGATATGATAAAAGTAATAAATTGAATAGTAAGCAATGGCTATTATCGAAACTTTTTAAATTCCTCATACAAATTTCCACTCCCATTTTCATCCCCTTATTTGCTGTTTTACGGGATAAAATATAGCCTATGTTGATCGCATATAATGTAGCTTCCCGTAAAAAGAATTAAAATCGGTCCAGTAGCATTGAAACTCATTCGATACAAACAACAAAATTCGGGAGTATTTATATACCGCTTATTTTCTTCTCTAATTTTCTTGTTTATTTAATCTTAGAAAGGCATAGAAAGCGATGAACAATGCACCAGCAGAAGATGATTTGACTTATTTGAAAACCGGTAACCGGTCTTACTACGGCAACGGAATCGATTGAT